CCAATTTAATAAAACAGACATGTTGGTAACCATCTGTGGAATCCCAAATCTAAAAGCTTCCTGGGATTCCACCCAGTTGAAAGTTCATGATCTTATCCCCACATGGTCCAATCTTCTTCTGCCACGCTGGCATCTTCACCCAGCTGGTTCTGGTCAGGTGCAGAGGTGCGGAGACAAAAGATGGCCTTGGGCTTCTAGAAAAGAATGACAACAACACATTCCACAATTCTACTCCTTTCTATTCCCCCCCCTCCCAAGTACTACACTAATGAAACTGCACAGTGAAATAAAAGAGAGTGTGGCAGGCCAAAGATCCTAAAAGGTATATAACTGCAGGCCTGACAGTATGTTTTATCTAGCAGTGCTTCACATAACATACAATTGTTAGCTGATTGCTATCTTTCCACCAATTGTTCTAGATCATTATGTCATTTTAGGTAACTTCCACATTAAGATTCTGCATCTGCCACTCCGGACTTTAGTCTTCTCAGGATTTTGGCAATTCTATAATGCTAAACTGATTTAAACTTACCTTACTGGCTATATATTTTTCTTTCATTTCTCCAACATTCGTTTACTTCCATAAAAATCAGTCTGCCTTTTCTCTGTTTTAATTTTAACTGTCCTTTTCTCTCTTTGAAAGTATATTTTTCTCTTTGTACACTTTATATAATTTTCTTTCCTCTTTATTTTTTGCTTGTGGGAATTTTTCTTACCAATTTCTCCCACTTAACCATTCCATTCCACATCTTTTTGTATATTTCCTAGTAGCATAACTTCGCACCTTCTATCGAATTCTCTAAAAATTTCTTTTTCATTTTTGTCCCGTGAAGTTTCCATGCCCTCTTTCCATTCATTCTGTTGGAGGAGAAATGTATCTCCTATTACTTTTTCGTACAAGACTTGTACTTTCATTTCCTGCAGTTTCTGTAATTTCACTTTTTTTCACTGTTTTCTTTTTCCCCATGTTTTTCCTAAAGCCTGCTGTTAACACAATCATGAAATAGTATGTCCTACAAAACCTCTGATTACACTTGTGCCTTCTACTAACTCTGCCATATATTCAAAACAAAGAGATTTTATTCTAAATCATTCTTCTCTTTCATTTTCGAGTTTCTAAACAGCCTATAGTAATTACCGGTACTTTTTCACTCATTTCATAGGAACTGTCTCAGAGACCCAGTTTGGTCTAATGATTAAGACACAGGCCTAGGATCCAGGCGGTCGTGCCCGCCTCCCTTCGGGAGGGGCACTCCCCCGCCATACTCAAAACGGCGGTGGTGAGACCCCTCCTGAAGAAACCATCCTTGGATCCAGCCATTTTAAACAACTTTCGTCCTGTCTCCAACCTCCCCTTTATTGGGAAGGTGGTGGAGAAGGTGGTGGCCTTCCAGCTTCAATGGGCCTTGGAGGAAGCTAGTTATCTTGACCCCT